AGGTAACCTTTTAACGTAATTCTGAATATGGATTCTTAATAAGGAGGTCAAAATTAGTAAACGCAAGAAATTTCAGGAATCCTCGTTACCGAATAAAAAAGTTATTCGACGTATTACAACCGCAAGATTTTACGCGGAATATGTCAGGCGGAATATTTCACGAAAAAATAAAAGTCTTCAGTTTTGTTTGAAATTGGGTTTCTGGACTTAATTTAGATAGCAGAATTCATTTCGGCCAACAGTTGTGGAATACTTATTCAATTTCACCCAACATCAAGTGTTATTTTTTTATCTCAAAAAATATTTTTCTAGTTTAGGGACTCATCATTTCAAAAAGGTTATCTTGATCGACTTCCCGTTTATACCACTCGATTCGTTGGAGTTCACATTTGAGAGACCGTTAAAGTGGACGACGTCATTTTTCTATAGGTGGCACCATTAGAAAAAAAAAAATCAGGAAGTTCGTAGCTCAATTCTGCAGACGGATTTCTTATCAGGAGTTCCAAATTAGTGAGTATAGCAAGTTTGAAGAATCTCCGTTTACTCATAAGAAAGTTAGTCCGACACGATTTTACGAGGAATATGTCAGGCGGAATATTCATGACAAAATAAAAGTTGTCCGAATTGCCTAAAATTGAGTTTTCACATTAATTTTGCACTGCAGAATTCATTTCTGCTGTCTCTAAGAAAATAAAGGAAATAGGGTATAACATTTGGCAAAATCAGTCTTATTTTGGCAAGTGCTGGCCCCGCCCACGCGCCCCTTTACTTTTTTCGAATGTATGCCATTTGGCAATATCAGTTTATTCTTGGCAAATACTAACCCCGCCCACCCGCCCTTCATTTTCTTGGAAATTATGTCATTTGCCAAAACCAGTCTTATCTTGGCATATACTAGGCCCGCCCACCCGCCCGTTATTTTTCTAGAAAGCTAATACTTGTTAAAATAAGACTGATGTTGGCAAATAATATATATCTTAAGAAAATGAGGGTGGGTGGGCGGGGCAAGTACTTGCTAAGATAAGACCGATTTTGGCAGATGACATACATTCTAATAAAACACAGGGCGGGTGGGCGGGGTTAGTACTTTCTAAGATAAAACTGATTTTGGCAAGTAACCTACTTCCTAAGAAAATAAAGGGTACAAGGTATATCTTTTGCCAAAATCAGTCGAATCTTGGCAAGTACTTGCCCCGCCCACCTGCCCTTTATTTTCTCAAAGAGTAGCTCATCTGCCAAAACTAGTCTTATTTTGGCAAGTACTAGCCCCAAGCACCCACCCACCCTTTATTTTTTTCGAATGTATGCCATTTGGCAATATCAGTTTATTCTTGGCAAATACTAACCCCGCCCACCCGCCCTTTATTTTCTTGGAAAATATGTCATTTGCCAAAACCAGTCTTATTTTTTTATTTTTTTTTTATTTTTTTTTTTTTTTATTTTATTAATTACGTCCCCCAGCAGGCACTGAGGCCCAATTACAGGGGAACGGGGCATACACGTTACACCCAGAGCCATGGCGGGAATCGAACCCACGACCCAAGGTGTAGCGGGCAAGCATGATGCTAACTAGCCCACCTCTTGGCATTCACTAGGCCCGCCCACCCGCCCGTTATTTTCCTAGAAAGCTAATACTTGTTAAAATAAGACAGGTTTTGGCAAATCAAATTACCTTAAGAAAATAGAGGGTGGGTGGGTGGGCAAGTACTTGCCTTAGTAAGACCGATTTTGGCAGATGACATACATTCTAATAAAACACAGGGCGGGTGGGCGGGATTAGTACTTTCTAAGATAAAAGTGATCTTGGCAAGTGACCTACTCCCTAAGAAAATAAAGGGTAAGGGGTATATCATTTGCCAAAATCAGTCGAATCTTGGCAAGTACTTGCCCCGCCCACCCGCCCTTTACTTTCTCAGAGAGTAGCTCATCTGCCAAAACCAGTCTTATTTTGGCAAGTACTAGCCCCACCCACCCGCCCTTTATTTTTTTCGAATGTATGCCATTTGGCAATATTCTTGGAAAATACTAACCCCGCCCACCCGCCCTTTATTTTGTTGGAAAATATGTCATTTGCCAAAACCAGTCTTATCTTGGCATACACTAGGCCCGCCCACCCGCCCGTTATTTTCCTAGAAAGCTAATACTTGTTAAAATAAGACATATTTTGGCAAATCAAATTACCTTAAGAAAATAGAGGGTGGGTGGGTGGGCAAGTACTTGCCTTAGTAAGACCGATTTTGGCAGATGACATAGATTCTAATGAAACACAGGGCGGGTGGGCGGGGTTAGTACTTTCTAAGATAAAACTGATTTTGGCAAGTGACCTACTCCCTAAGAAAATAAAGGGTAAGGGGTATATCATTTGCCAAAATCAGTCGAATCTTGGCAAGTACTTGCCCCGCCCACCCGCCCTTTACTTTCTCAGAGAGTAGCTCATCTGCCAAAACCAGTCTTATTTTGGCAAGTACTAGCCCCACCCACCCGCCCTTTATTTTTTTCGAGGGTATGCCATTTGGCAATATCAGTTTACTCTTGGCAAGTGCTGGACACGGATCCACATTCAGTAGGTCCAAATTAGTAGACACAACAAATTTCAGAAATCCCCATTATCGAATAAAAAACTTAGTCTGACGTATCATAATCGCGAAATTTTACATGGAATATGTCAGGCAAAATATTCGTGAAGAAATAAAAGTCGTCCGATTTCCTTGAAATTCAGTTTTCAGATTAGTTTTGTATTGCAGAGTTCATTTCTGCTGTCTCTAGGAAAATAAAGAGTAAAGGGTATATCATTTGGCGAAATAAGTCGAATCTTGGCAAGTACTGGCCGCGCCCACCCCCCCCCCCCCTTTTATTTTCTTGGAAACTATGTCATCTGCCAAAATCAATCTTATTGTGGCAAGCACTAGCCCCGCCCACCCACCCTTTATTTTCTTAAGGATATTTTATTTGGCAATATTAGTCTTATCTTGGCAAATACTAGCCCCGCCCCCCGCCCTTTATCTTCCTAGAAGGCTAATGCTTGTCAAAGTAAGACTGATTTTGGCAAATCACATATACCATAAGATGGGTGGACGGGGCAAGTACGTGCTAAGATAAGATCGATTTTGGCAGATGACATACATTCTAATAAAACACAGGGCGGGTGGGCGGGGCTAGTACTTTCTAAGATAAAACTGGTTTTGGCAAATAAAATACCCTTTAAGAAAATAGAGGCATGGTGGGCGGGGGGCTAGCATTGTATAGATTCTTTGAAGATCTGTCATCACAAGATGTTTTTTTTGGACTTGATGGATTAACCGTTTCGGTTTCAGAAACCGATCAAATGGATGGTGTCATCAGGTAACTTTTTAGCGTAATTCTGAATACGGATTCGTAATAAGGAGGTCCAGATTAGTATGCACAAGAAATTTCAGGAATCTTCGTTATCGAATAAAAAAGTTACACCACACCATATGTCAGGGGAATATTTCACGAAAAAATAATAAATAAAATAAAAAACAAAAAAATTCAGGCCGCCCCTTAGGACAATTCTGAATACGGATCCGTACTCAGAAAGTCCAAATTAGTAATTACAGCAAATTTCGAAACTCCGTTATCAAATAAGAAAGTTAGTGCAACTTAACCAGAACAAGATTTTACACGGAATATGTCAGGGGAGATATGTCATGAAAAAATAAACATAATCTGTTGTGCCTGAAACTGACTTTCTGGACTAATTTCACACTACAGAATTCAAATATGCCATCAGTTTCAACCAAAACAATAAACCAAGAAAAGCAAAAATAAAAAAAAACTGCGTTTTATTGCGGCGAAAACCGCAGCTACAACTTTTATCGAAATGTACCAGAAATGGATAACATTACTTTACATAAAACCCCCCATTGCGTGCAGCGAAACGCCACCATCTTTGTCAACTTTACACCTGAATTTCATTACTTTCGGAAAGTTTGATACCTCGGATACACCAAAGTACACCTTTACGATTACGAGCCCCAGCTAGTCCCATTGTAAACAGTTTCCTTGCTACGAAAATGATAAAATTTATAAGCATCCGACTATTACGTGACGCCCTAATAAAACGCGTCACTCAAGTCAAAACCACATCCGGCTTCAACAAAGTATGCCTCAAGAATTTCCCGACATAGATTAATACGCAGCCCCTAAAATTCACCAGATTTTATCGTTGTTTCAATAAAGTTGTTGTGTATCACACCGAGTTTAAGCGAAACGCTTCCGCCAACCGGGTGACGTGTTAATAATTAGTTCACGACTGTATTAAATATACGAAAATCGGGATTAAATATGCCATACATTACGTTTAGAATTTTTGCACTTCGTGTACGAAAAGTGGCAAATTAATTCCGTTTCAAAACGAACTGGAAAAGCCTCGGGTTCTTTTCTTTGTCAGGAGCGATTTTCTATTCGCTTTATTATTATTAAAAACGGGATTAAAAGCAATAAGAACAAAGCTGTGTTGACGTCATTTGTTTGCTACGTGTTACAGCTGCACTTGACGAGTTCTTTATTTAAAAAAAATGAGTATTTTCACGAATCGATTTAAGTTCGTCATCGTTGCAGTCCAGGAAATTAAAATGCGCTCCAAGAACAGAAACGAGTTATTTCGGAGGAAATGGTGTCGAACTTGGCAATATCCTTCAAATCGGAGCTTCTATTAAAAGATTGCTATTTACCACGTAAATTTTTACAAAGAGTGCGGACTAAGGGATTAAAGAACATAATTAATGTTTGTTCATGATAAAAATAAATTATCGTTGATAGGAAAACGTGTAATAAACCATATGGTTTGCTGACAGATTATCGGCCAGTGATTTACTTAATATGTTTACTCTATACTTAAAATAGAAAGATATGTTGTAAAGCAGGCAGACGCGTTTTATTGTAATCTAAGATTATTTCAGCGTTGTTTAATATTAACCGTGCGTAATGGCCACTTTACCACCCTGCATTAGTATAATGACCCATTACAACACACTCACCATGTTGAAGACACCTGACCAATAAATCCTCGATAGCCCTCCGACGTCCACTTCCAATTCTGTAACGAACAAAATTAAAAATTAATTCTAGCATAAAGTTTATTGTTTCTTGGATGACGTCGTGACGCTCTCTATACGACCCAGTAAACCGAAAATAATAAACCTGCTTTATAGTAAAACAAACGAGGACCATCGGAATATTTCCGGAACTGGAATGGGTCGCTGTTTATGAAGGATTCGAGAGGACACGGCGTCATTTTCATGATGTCCTTAAACTTGTCACTGCCAGAATATAACTTTAACGCGGTCTTATCTGGGTCTGGATGGAGAGCGAGCCTAATCGGCCGCTTTTTCACACGTTAAGAGTGGCAATTTGTGTGTAAAAAATGGCAGAAAATTTTTATAATCTAATTAGGAATTAATTCCCTGTTTATTTTCGTCGCGGTGTTTTTCGCTTTGGATCTACGTCACTGACATTAAAGGTTTAAAGTTTAGCCGGCTTTGTTAATTCGCTGCAAAGTGATCCGTAACCCCGTTGTTTTGGTGGAAGAGAGGAGATCAAACACGTAGTCGAGAAGTCGAAAAAATTAACTTCAACATCAAAGCGAAAACGAAAATTGTAAGTTTTTTTTGGGTGTAGGGAGATAATATCGGAATTCTGGGTGTTTTTACAAAAGTTTCAAAAGTCTATAACGTCATTAACAGGGAATGATTAGTTTGTGTATGGATTTTCAGATTTATTGACGAATTCAATAATTTTGTTTGTTTTAAAATCCCAGCACATACATTTACTGTTGTACGTGATTTGAATGTGATAATCAAAGCCTGACACTGAAAGCAGCTACCACATTAAACAAAAATAGTAGGGTACAAAGAGATAACTTTATTAGTTACACTGCTGTCGTCCTTATAACACGAGACGCATAAAGTTTCATTGATTGGGGTTGGAACTGTATTACACGAGAGAAAAGTGTTTCCATAAATTTGTTAATGTGGATATTAGCAAGAAAAGTCAATAAAATTGGAGACAGATGGAAAAAAGTGGTCGAGGGTTATTTTGCTAGAACTTCCCTCACCCTTGAACTAACAAATCTCACTTATTTGAAATATTATATATTTTTTGAGATTTTTGTTTTCTAATTAAAAAATGCTTTTCAAGAAATCGAAAAATAGAAAAATTGAAAGACCGAAAAAATGAAATATAAAAAAGATGAAAGATCGAGCAGTAGGCGCATAAAAAAAATTGAAAAATGGAAAAATCCAGAAGTTGAAAAACTCCCATTTATTTAAATGTTGAAAAATTGGGACATCTAGAGCTTAAAAAAAATCGGGAAATCGTAAAGCCAAAAAATTGAAAAAATTGAAAAACCGAAATGTCGAGAAATGGAAAATTCGGAAAACCGGAGAATTGATTTAACAAGTTTTAAAATAGTTAAATCGAAAAACTGACGAATCGAAAAAGGTAAAATCAAAAAATTGGAAATTATCGTAAAACTGAAAAATTATATAATCGAAAAATTGAAGGATGAAAAAGTTGACAAATCGAGGAATTAAAAAAACCCAACGAAAAACTGGAAAATCGATAAATCGAAGAGTGGGAAAATCGAACATTTAAAATATCGAAACATCGAGAAAACAAAAACCTGAAAAAGTGAAAAATTGAAGGATCGAAAAAACCAGGAATTGAAAAATTCCTAAAATTTAAACGTTGAAAATTTGAGAAATCGAAAGTTTGGAAAAATTTTAAAAACTGAAAAACCGAGAAGTCGAGAAATCGAAAATTCGGGAAATCAAAAAATTGAATTAAAAATTAGAATCGGGAAATCAAAACATCAAAATATCGTTAAATTGAAAAATGGACAAACCAAAAAGTGTAAAATGAAAAAAATTGAAAATGAAACATCGAAAAACTGAAAAATAAAAAAAAATGAAAAAAAATATAGCGAAATCGAAAATCAGAATAATCGAAAAATTGACAAATCGTAACATCGAGAAATTTAACGTTGAAAAGATCAAGAAATCGAAAAAATGAATAAATGAAAAAATGGAAAATTAAAAAACCGAAAAATTTAAACACCCAAGAATTGAAAAACATTGAATGAACTAAAACCGAAAAAATCGAGAAACCTAAACATCAAAAAATTTAAAAATCTAAGTATCAAAAAATGATAAATTGAATGGAAAAATTGAAAAATCGAAAAACTGAAGAGTTGAAAAATTGGAAAATCAAGAAATCGAAACATAAAAAGACGAAAAACTAAAGAACTGAAGAAGCAAAAAATTGGTCAACGGAAAATCGAAATGTAGTAAATTTTCGATTTTTCCTGCTTTTCAATTTTTCCGTTTCTTACTTTGAAGAATCGAAAAACTGAAAAATCGAATACCCGAAAATTTAAAAAAATGGAAAAATTGAGATGTCGGGAAATCTAAAATTCGAAAAATCACGAAATTAACTTGGCAAGTTTTAAAATCGTTAAATCGAACAATTGCTAAAACGAAGAACGCTAAATTAAAAAATTGAAAAACTTAGAATTAAAAAAATCGAAAAATTGAAGAATCAAAAAAATGACAAATCGAGAGATTAAAAAACCCAAAACTGAAATGTCGAAAGAGTGGAAAATCGAAACATCGAAAAATTGGAAAATCGAAGAATCGAAAAGTCGAAAAATCGAGAAATCAAAAAATTGAAAAATTAAAACATCACTTGGAAAAAACGAGAAATCGAAAAATTGGAGAATTGAAAAACAAAAAATCAAAAATTTTATAATTCGAAACATTGAAAGATCTAAAACTGAGAAAATCGAGAAATGTAAACATCAAAAAGAATTGGAAAATTGAAGTGTTGAAAAACTGGAAAATCGAGTAATCGAAAAATCAAAAGTGAGAAATTTTTTATTTTTCCAAGTTTTGGATTTTTCATTTTGAAGAATCGAAAAGGTGAAAAATCGAAAACCTGAAAATTTAAAAAGTGAAAAATTGAAACATCTAAAAGTTGAAGAATGGAAATATGTATTGAAAAATTCCAAAACTGAAGTCAGTAAATAAAAAATAAAAAAAAATGAAAAATCGAAAAATCGAAAAGTGAAAGGCTGAAAAAACAAGAAATTGAAAAATTACCAAAATGTAAACGTTGAAAATTTGAGAAATCGAGAGTTAGAAAAATTTTAAAAATTAAAAAATCGAGAAGTGGAGAAATCGAAAATTCAAGAAATCAAAAAATTGAATTAAAAAATTAAAATCGGGAAATCAAAACATCAAAATATCGTTAAATTGAAAAACTGACAAATCGAAAATAGAAGAAAACCAAAACTGAACTTGCGAAAAATTGGAAAATTAAAACTTGGAAAATGTGGAAGATCGAAAAATCGAAAAGTTGAAAAATCGAGAAATTTAAAGTTGAAAAGATCAAGAAATCAAAAACATGAAGAATTGAAAAATTGGGAAATTAAAAAACCAAAAAATTTAAACACCGATGAATTGAAAAACATTGAATGAACTAAAACCGAGAAAATCGAGAAACATCAAAAAATTTAAAAATCTATTTATCAGAAAATGAAAAATTGAAAAATCGAAAAACTGAAGAGTTGAAAAAATGAAAAAGTAAAAAATCGGACAATGGAAAATCGAAAAGTAGGAAATTTACCATTTTTCCTGCTTTTCAAGTTTTCCGTTTCTCACTTTGAAGAATCGAAAAACTGAAAATCGAAAAACCGAAAATTAAAAAAAAATTGAAACACCGAGATATCGGGAAATCTAAAATTCGAAAAATTGGGAAATTGAATTAGCAAGTTTTAAAATCGTTAAATGGAAAAATTGATAAACCGAAGAACGTTAAATTAAAAAATTGAAAAACTTAGGGTTAAAAAAATCGAAAAATTGAAGAATAAAAAAATTGACAAATCGAGAAATTAAAAAACCCAAAACTGAAATGAAACATCGAATAGTTGAAGAATGGAAATATGTATTGAAAAATTCCAAAACTGAAGTCAGTAAATAAAAAATAAAAAAAAAATGGAAAATTGAAAAATCGAAAAGTGAAAGGCAGAAAAAACACGAAATTGAAAAATTACCAAAATTTAGACGTTGAAAATTTGAGAAATCGAGAGTTTAGAAAAATTTAAAAAATTGAAAAATCGAGAAGTGGAGCAATCGAAAATTCAAGAAATCAAATAATTGAATTAAAAAATTTAAAATCGGGAAATCAAAACATCAAAATATCGTTAAATTGAAAAATTGACAAATCGAAAAATGTAGAATTAAAAAAATTGAAAATGAAACATCGGAAAACTGAAAAATAAAAAAAAAATGGAAAAAAATAGCAAAATCGAAAACCAGAAGAATCGAAAAATTGACAAATCGAAAATTGAAGAAAACCAAAACTGAACTGGCGAAAAATTGGAAAATTGAAACATCGAAAAAGTGGAAGATCGAAAAATCGAAAAGTCGAAAAATCGAGAAAAAAATTTAACGTTGAAAAGATCAAGAACTCGAAAGAATGGAGAATTGAAAAATTGGGAAATTAAAAAACCAAAAAATTTAAACACCGAAGAATTGAAAAACATTGTTTGAAACATCACTTGAAAAGAACGAGAAATCGAAAAATTGGAGAACTGAAAAACGAAAAATTTAAACACCGAAAAATTGAAAAAAACAAAGAAAAATAGACAAATTAAAAAATCGAAAATCAGAAGAATCGAAAAATTGATAAATCGAAAAACTGGAAAATCGAAAAGTCGAAAAACCGAGAAATTGAAACATCGAGACATTTAAAGTTGAAAAGATCAACAATCGAAAAATTGAAGAATTGAAAAATTAAAAAACCGAAAAATTTAACCACCGAAAAATTGAAAAAACGTTGAATGAACTAAAACGGAGAAAATAGAGACCTAAATATCAAAAAATGTAAAAATCGAATTATAAAAAATGAAAAATTGAAGAGAAAATTGAAAAATCGAAAAATTGAAGAGTTGAAAAATTGAAAAACTAAAGAATTAAAAAAGTAGGAAATTTTCGATTTTTCCTACTTTCCGTTTTTTCCGTTTCTCATTTTGAAGAATGG